TATGATATGCGCGTAGGCATATCGGTATGCAGCGCGCTGTGCTACACACGGGATACTGAGGCGAGTTCAAAACACTCGGGCAGCCACCGCAGAGTACGGGCCTACGTACTGCTGCGACAAAACAAGTTTGAATTGATCTTTTGGATTTCGGTGCCTTGCAATACACACAATTATTCGTTTAACGTGATACAGTTTACGTTTTGGTTGTATCGTGGATTCGAGCCCCAAGATTCGCATATCATCCCACAGCCTCGAATAGGCGTCAAACAAACACAGAGAAGTACGGCGCAACCATATAATACCAAGTGTGTGCTGGGGAAGGTAGAGACGCCAACCAGAACCAAAGCAGCATGAAGCAGATACTACCACAGATAGACATACACACAGGCCCACCCGTACGTATCTTTGCTGTCAGCCACACGGACACAACAATAAAATAACACACTTTAGCTGTATATACAGCCCGTCCTTATGTATCCTTGATGCAACGTGAATACAATAAAAAATTAACACATCATAAACACAACCATGAATTAACACATAAACACAGTCATAAATTAACACATCATGAACATATTCACAAAGGAACACACCTTAGCTGCATCAGTCTCAGCCCACCGCCGTACAGCCCGTCCCTCGCGCGTAGTGAATATATCTGCGAGGTCTGGCGCCTGCTGTGCATGCTTTGAATGCCCATCCTTGTGGCTGTGATGGTCTGCCTGTTTTGTACGCTTTCGGATGTTGATGCCTGTGTGCGTGCTCCTATGCGGGCTTTCGCCCTCTGATCTGTTTCTGCGTCTCCCATTCGGACTGATCTGCTTGACATCCTCGTTCTCATTCCAATTAAGTTGCCTACTTGACCTTTGTACATAAAATTGGTGTGTGTGTATGTGTTGGTGTGTAGGTGGGTGTGGGAGGTGGCGGGATATGGGTTTATGGGTTGAATTCAATCCAGAGTTCTAGATTGTGTACCAGTTGCAAGCATAAAATCTCACCAATTGTTCCAGTTGGCGGGGCGCAAACTGTATTCCATACATAACAACCGCTCACATAATCAAGACAATACAACCACGCATCTCTCAGACAATCAACGCCAACCTTATCTTAAGGCCACAACGTCTGCAGAAGAGATAGCAGTCTAGTCCAAACAACTGCACGAGTGCGCACTTAATAGGCCCTAATCTATGCCCATTTGTCCCCCCCCCCCCGCCCATGACCCTGACTCGCACTCAAGAATCTGATCTCTACCAATGAGCCATGCGTATCACACACACCCTACTGTCCGATCACCGACAACAGGGACACGCACAACCCACACCTTCTCAGTCGCTTACGGCCATCCACACGCACACCACACACCTTCTCAGTCGTTTACGGCCATCCACACGCACAACACACACCTTCTCAGTCGCTTACAGCCATCCGTCTCCGCTCCACCTGGCTGCACGCCCGTGCCATCCCGTGTCTCCGCTGAGTCCTTGTTCTGCGTTGTTTTGCTGTGTGTGTGGGTGTGTCTATCAATGCCACCCCCACCACCCTCTCCATCACGCACAGATTGGTTGTTCTTTGTGCCTACGGGCACCACGCGCTCGGCCTCAGAGTCGTAGTCCGACTCAGAAGACTGTGAGCCGATCTCATCACTCTCATTCAGCCGCTCAATACCCTCAGACAGATGGACAGGTCCATCTCCTGCGGGTGTTCTTGTACTAGTACCCTCAGTTGTTCCGTCTGCCGTATGGGCAGTGGAACCGTTGGTAGTTCTATTTATAGACTGCAGCCCATCGTCCTGTGGTGCGGGTGGGTCTATACCATCGACAGTATCTTTGTACTCGAATATTTTGTTCTCCCGCATCTGGATCTGCGTGTCGATGGTATTCACATAGTAGGCGCGCACATGAAGTCCCTTTGTGGTGGTGTTTGGCCTCCTGGCGCGATGAAATGGATCCAAAATCAGTTGCAAGGTGAAATGAATTGCTAGGTAAATTAATCGTATCAAACATGTGCTTACTACGAATGCATGCTAGTGTGAAGTATATATGGAATCAACCCCAAATTGTGCACACAGCCTGTCGGAATTGCGCTATCTCACTCCGCAATCGATATGCAGACCATCGACATGTCTGTAATTATGGGCCTGATACAAAGTGCGCTCTTTGAACAATAGCAAGGCATACAAACCGAAACGGGATATGTACGTGAAATGTACAAATCAGCAATGAGTCACTGCACGTTCCCGATCACCACCAAAAAGACGTCGTAAAATAGATATACATGTATATATATATAGATATATATATATATATATATATATATATATATATATATACTATATATATATATATATATATATATATATATATATATATATATATATATATATATATATATATATATAA